AAGTTGGGAGGGTCTCAGGAGAGGGCAGTTGGGGACAAGGAAAAGGGAAGCTTAGATAGGAGGTGCAGTCCCGGGAGAGGGCAATCAAGGGACAAGGACCAGTGGGGCTTAGATGGGGGTGGGGTCCTGGGGGGCAGTTAGGGGCAGGGGTCCCAGGAGGAGGTGATCAGGGGACAGGGAGCAGGGGGTTGGATCGGTTGGGGTTTCTGGGGAGGCAGTCGGAGGGAGTGGATGGGGACAGGGTGGGGCTACCCTCCCTCTCCGTGGAGTGTCCTATTTTTTGAACGTTAAAACATGGAATCCCTACTCACAACACAGCTCTCCATTCACTGCAGCATGAGGTCTCAGCTTCCTCACTCCCTCCCCCACTTTCCTGTTGGTAGTGGCCAAGGGAATGTTGGGAAATGTAGTTCTTTCCCTGCTCCAGGGCTGGCTCTATAGGCAGGGAGCTAACCAAGGAACTACAGATCCCAGGGTCCCCTGTTGGTTCTCAGCTCGCAGGCTGGATCCCTGCCGCCCCTGCAAATGCGCTCCCCAAGCATGTGCTTGCTTTGCTGGTGCCTAGAGCCGCCCCTGGCTCTGGGTGTCCCATTGGCACGGAGCCCCTGTGAGGGTCTGGCTGGGGGTGGGGCTGGGAACGGGGAGGCTGAGCCGAGCCCCTCACCTCTCACCACCAGCTGCACGGGGTCGCTGGGGTACGACACGGCGAACGGCTCCCATCTGCTGCGATAGGAGCAGCTATAGCTCCCCCCGTCCTCCCGGCTCACGTTGCTGATGGGAAACACAGCCTCGATGTCGTCCGAATCCACAGGTGGGAAATGGCGTCCCTCTTTATTCAGCATGAACCGCACGCCCCAGCGCTGCCCCCGACACCAGACGGTCACGGCTCCCCCCAGGGAGACCCCCCCGCTGGGGCTCAGAGAGATGCTGGGTTTGGGGTAGCTGGGCTCTGCAGTGGGAAGCAGACAGGCCATGAGACGCAGGCCCCGGGCGGGGGAGGAGCCGACACGACGGCCCAGCCACTTTCCCCTCCCCAGCACAGCTTCCGACTGAGTACTGGGTTTCCAGGGGAGTGCGGAGGGGCCTTGGCCAGCTAAGCAGCCCCTGGGCCCCGAGCCCTCTGTGCATCCCCCGAGATGGGGAGAATCCCCCTGGGAAAGGTCCCCTGCTCCGCAGCTCCCCCAGGGACAGGGATCCCCCCTCCCTCAATCTCCAGTGGCTGCTGCTCCTCCCCGTGACTCCATCCCCCATGTGCGGTGGGTGGACCACCCTTTCTGGGAGGCTAGCCCTGCAACTCCACCCTGACGCACAAGGCCCCACTTCCCATGGCAGGAGCCCTGGGTGCCTCTCACCACCCCCTCCCCTGGCCAGATAAACCCCGGCTGGCCAGAACCCTGAGCAAACCCCCCATCCCCACCTCCAGAGGACCCCCAGCACAGCCCCAAGCCCAGGTCACCCCAGCCAGCCAACCGACTCCAGTTCCAGCCGTGCGATGCTGAGCAGCTCCAGCTGTGTTTGCCAAACCGGGTGACCCCAGCCCTGTGCTAGACCAGAGCAACCCCAGCCCCCAGTCCTAGCTCCCGGCCTTCCTCTGTCCCAAATCTCCAGTGGCTGCTTCTCCCCCATGGCTGGGGAACCCCCCAGTGACTCTGTCCCCGCTCCCCGGCCGGGCGTCCCCTCTGCTGGGCCCAGGGATCATGGCAGAGCCTGGCTCTGAGCGTCCCATTGTGCAGAGACCCCCTGTGGGTCTGGCTGGGTGTGGGGCTGGGAGCCGGGGCACTGAGCCGGGCCCCTCCCTCACCTCCTACAATGATCTCGACAGGGTCACTGAGATACGACCAGCGACTCTGATCCGTTATGGAGCGATAGTCGCAGGTGTAGCTCCCTCCATCTTCCCAACTGACATTAGCAATGGGAAATTCAGCCACGGTCCCATCAGGCACCGTCTGCCTCTGCGGGTTCGGTTGTCCAGCTTTACGCAGAAAGAACTCCATGTCCGAGTACAAACCCTCACAGCGGATGGTGACACTTCCCCCGAGCGCCACCACTCTGCTGGGGCTCACCCAGATGGTGGGTTTGAGAAATTCATGCCCTGCTTTCAAAAAGAGACAGGAGTTAAACAGGGGAGACACAGCCCCCATCTCCCCCCCACCCCAATTCTGTCCATCTGTCATTCAGCCCCTCTAGGAGTCTGTCCCCTACCAGGGTTGGCACTGCTGCCCATGGGGCTCGGGGGCAGGGGGTTCACCCAGACATAGCTCAGGACCAGGCTCCATGAGCGATCCCCTGCCTCCCCTCCCCCGTCCACCTGAGGCCAGCCAGGGAGCCTGACCAGTGGACCCCCTGCAGCTCTGCCCCCGACCCCGGGTTTTGAAATAGAGTCTGTGACTGGCAGGAATCTCACAAGACCCACCTTTCACCAGGCCATGGGATCGGGGGGTGGGGCTGTGAGTGCAGGGGAGGGAGGTGTTCGGGTGGATCTCAGGGCAGGGGAGGATCTGGGGGTTCTGCCTGCGGCTGCACTGACCGTGAATGTTTCGGTTCCCCGAGGGGATCTAGAGCCCATGGATGGGCCCTGTTAACGTTTGTATGAGCTGAAATAAATCCACGTGTCGGCCCCACCCCCGATCCTCACAGCCTGGGGCCGGGGGGGTGGGGACAGGACATTAAACTAGAGGATGGTTCCCCATGAGCCAGATTCAGCTCTTAGTTATTCCCTAGCAGGGCCGGGATGGCGGAGGTTCACAGAAGAACGATGCCGGGTCTGAGCTCTCGGGGGAAGATTGGGTTGAGTTTTGAGGAAGGTTCAGGGCTCAGTTCCTCTTTTCTCCCACCACGTATCCCCTCCCCAGTCCTTCATGTTATCGTCCTCCCAACAAATTGATACTCACCTCCCCACACCCCGCTGTGCCTGGCCAGCCAGCAGCCTGGAGAGGAGACGGCTTGTTAATAACCAGATCGCAGAGCAACTGGATCCTACACGCCCCCCATGGGCACATGCCCTGGTCTCAGATCCCCCCCCATGGGCACATGCCCTAGTCTCAGATCCCCCCCATGGGCACACACCTTGGTCTCAGATCCCACCATGGGCACATGCCCTGGTCTCAGATCCCCCACCCCATGGGCACATGCCCTGGCTTTATCGATACTCACTGAGGAAGAGGACAGTGCGAGCAGATGCCATGATGGGGGCAGCCAGGGGCCCCTCAGCGCTGCCACCAACACCCCGAAGCCCAACTCAACCAAGCCCCAAATGAGGAACTCAGCTGGTGGCTCCAGCTACAGGAAGTGGACGATGTGTCATCTCTTCCTGCGTTCATCATATGTTGTCTCTAATCTGCAGGCGAAATCTAGAACAGCCAAAGCAAGCAGAGGTCCCTGCAAAACCCAGGAAACCCTGGGCCCCTCAGCCTGGCCAAGCATCATGCAGCTCCCAGCTTCTCTATGTCTCTGTGGGGACTCGGGAGAGGTCGCTGTGATGCAGCAGGAAGTGGGGAGTATTGACCTGGGAAGGTTGCAGGGGAGTTTTACTGGGACTGTGTGTGGGATGGGAGACTTTCCTTGAGGGAAGATACCTCAGCATGTAACATGAGAACCCAGGATGGGGGGTTGGGGCCAGGTGACACCTTGTGCCCGGGAAACTGAACAAAGGCTGGAGGAGGAACCAGGGGGAGGGAGCAGGGCCGGCGCTTCCATTTAGGTGACCTAGGCGGTCGCCTAGGGCACCAGGATTTGGGGGGGCGGCAATTTGGCAGCGAGGGGTCCTTCCGCGCTCTGAGTCTCCGGCGGCAATTCTGCGGCGGGTCCTTCACTCACTCTGCGACCCGCCGCCGAAGTGCCCCGAAGACCGGGAGCACGGAAAGACCCCCACCTAGGGCGCCAAAAACCCTGGCGCCGCTCCTGGGAGGAGGTGAGAGACAGCTGGAGGGGGCTTCAGTTTGGAGCTGGCTGAGGAAATGGAGGGAGCTCCACGGTTGATCCCAGTAATTTCAGACCAGTAAGTCTAACGTCAGTACCGGGCAAATTAGTTGAAACAATAGTAAAGAATAAAATTGTCAGACACTTAGAAGAACATAAATTGTTGGGCAAAAGTCATCATGGTTTCTGTAAAGGGAAATCGTGTCTTACTAATCTATTAGAGTTCTTTGAAGGGGTCAACAAACATGTGGACAAGGTGGATCCAGTGGACATAGTGTACTTAGATTTCCAGAAAGCCTTTGACAAGGTCCCTCACCAAAGGCTCTTAGTTAATTTAAGCTGTCATGAGATAAAAGGGAAGGTCCTTTCATGGATTGAGAACTGGTTAAAAGATAGTGAACAAAGGGTAGGAATGGAGAGGGGTAACTAGTGGTCTTCCCCGAGGGTCAGTCCTAGGACCAATCCTATTCAACTTATTCATAAATGATCTGGAGAAAGGGGTAAACAGTGAGACGGCAAAGTCTGCAGATGATATTAAACTGCTCAAGATAGTTAAGACCAAAGCAGACTGTGAAGAACTTCAAAAAGATCTCACAAAACTAAGTGACTGGGCAACAAAATGGCCAATGAAATTTAATGTGGATAAATGTAAAGTAATGCACATTGGAAAAAATAACCCCAACTATACATACAATACGATGGGGGCTAATTTAGCTACAACGAATCAGGAAAAAGATCTTGGAGTCATCGTGGATAGTTCTCTGAAGACATCCACACAGTGTGCAGTAGCGATCAAAAAAGCAAACAGGATGTTAGGAATCATTAAAAAGGGGATAGAGAATAAGATGGTTTATATCTTATTACCCTTATATAAATCCATGGTATGCCCACATCTTGAATACTGCGTACAGATGTGGTCTCCTCATCTCAAAAAAATATACTGGCATTAGAAAAGATTCAGAGAAGGGCAACTAAAATGATTAGGGGTTTGGAACGGGTCCCATATGAGGAGAGATTAAAGAGACTAGGACTTTTCAGCTTGGAAAAGAGGAGACTAAGGGGGGATATGATAGAGGGATATAAAATCATGTGTGGTGTGGAGAAAGTAAATAAGGAAAAGTTATTTACTTGTTCCCATAATACAAGAACTAGGGGCCACCAAATGAAATTAATGGGCAGCAGGTTTAAAACAAATACAAGGAAGTTCTTCTTCACACAGCCCACAGTCAACTTGTGGAACTCCTTACTTGAGGAGGTGGTGAAGGGTAGGACTATAACAGGGTTTAAAAGAGAACTGGATAAATTCATGGAGGTTAAGTCTATTAATGGCTATTAGCCAGGCTGGGTAAGGAATAGTGTCCCCAGCCTCTGTTTGTCAGAGGGTGGAGATGGATGGCAGGAGAGAGATCACTTGACCATTACCTGTTAGGTTCACTCCCTCTGGGGCACCCGGCATTGGCCACTGTCAGTAGACAGGACACTGGGCTGGATGGACCTTTGGTCTGACCCAGTACGGCCATTCTTATGTTCTTATGACTGGGGTCTAAGCTTCCTGCCCCCCATCCCAGAAGGACTTAACTGAGGGGTCCTGGTTGTACCTACAAGCTCTGTTTGGGACTGTGTTCCTGTCGTCCAATAAACCTTCCGTTTTACTGGTTAGCTGAGAGTCCCGGTGAATCGCAGGAAGTGGGGGATGCAGGGCCCTGACTCCCCCACACTCCATGACAGTCACTCTCAGTGCACTCTGCAGCACTGGGGAAGGTGCATCAGGCTGGGAGCCAGGAGACCACAGGGTCTTGTCTTCAATCTTCCACTGACCACTACAGTAGAACCTCAGAGTTACGAACTGACCAATCAACCACACCCCAGAACTGACCAATCAACCACACCCCTCATTTGGAACTGGAAGTGAGCAAACAGACAGCATCAGAGATAACTGAAAAAAATAAGTAAATACAGAACAGCTCCGTGTTACACATAAACTACGAAAACAATAAAGGGGAAGTTTAAAAAGAAAGATTTGACAAGGGAAGGAAACTGTTTCTGTGCTTGTTACATTTAAATTACGATGGTTAAAAGCAGCATTTTTCTTCGGCATAGTAAAGTTTTGAAGCCTGCTTTGTTGCATTCTGATTTTAAAGCTGGCTGGTGACCCATGTAGGTAAAATTAATAGGTGCTCATGCAATTAAAGTGGGCAGAGTTAAGGAAAACGTAACTGTGGCATTTCCTGGTGCTGGAGGGTTTGACTTTGCAGCCTTCCTGCTCAGCCAGCCAAGCTACCCACCTGCGACACGAGCCGTGGCACCGTGTGAGGAGCGGGCGGGATGGGGGACGCCTGGGTTTGCTGCCCCTTGAGCCATAACTGAGCAGTGATGGCAGCTTTACACTGTAACGCCTGGTTCTAAGGGGCTTTTCTCAGCATGTGAATTAAATCAAG